TTTACAAATATCTGAAGTCTCAAATCCTCAAGAAACATTGAACCACAGGAATTTATGGATTGGAATTTCGTATGTTGGATAAATATTCATTTTCTACTGTAGAAGGTCTCCTCTTTCCTCTTCTCACTTCCCTAGAGGGCATTCCATCTCTAGGGAGAGAGGACAGGAGGGAAATCACTTCTGCTTCTTCAAGTTGCATAGAGTATTCGCTAGAGTTTATTATGTGTCCAAAAGAGAGAGACAGCACACCCAGCAAATTCACCTGTTCTGGCCGCCAGCAAATTGTCTCCCATCATCAAGTGGGGACAACTGCTGTGTTCTGTGCTGGTGCTTCCAGTTCTTTACAAAGCCTCTGAATATCCTGTGAATGAATACTAGCCAACATATTTGAATAAAAGACCATACATGTTTTCTTGTAGACACTTTGTCTTTCTTTTTTTTTTTATTTAAAGATTTTCCAAGGCATTTTTTCTGTCTGGTGCACTTTAAAAGAGAAGTCACTGTGACTGTATCTTGACCTGAGCCCCCACCACACCCTGCCTCTGTCCATCACAGATGCATTACATACACACTCACACACACATTCTTTTCCACCTGGCATTGCTTCTACCATACTGACAGTTCTTGGCTGTGAGAGGGCCCGGAGCTTGAGCCTGCAGGGTGTCAAGTGACCTTAGACACCAAATGGTGCTAGGTTCTGCTCCAATCAAACCCCTGGTTTCTGCTAGAATGGCCTGAATCCCTTTGCTTCAATTACATGGATCAGTTGCTTCCATCTGGAAAGAAGAGTGGCGGATGGGTTTGCCAGGAGCCTGCAGCGCAGAAAGCCCCCTGGGAAGGGCTGCTATCTTTGAGGCCTGGTTGGCCTGGAACGGGCTTTTGGTCTGTGCTGGCTGTTTGCGGGCTCCTGCTTCTTTGGGGTGTCTGCTTACCTTGGCATCTTTCACATAGCCATGGAACATGCGAAGCCTGGCATAAACCAGAAGCTCATTGTTTGTAGAATAAAATCTGATAAGCAAAGGTGATATATTGGAGTGTTTGGAGTCATGCTGTTTTGATTTAAATATCACATCCCCATATGCCAACAACTCCTACAAAACAGAGAGAAGCACCTGTGTTGGTCTTGGCACAGGATCTGTTTAAGGGCAGGCCTGAGGCATCCTTGTTCTCTCGTGTGCTGTGTGTGTGCACATGTGCACATGGATGAGCATGTGTGTGTTCCCGCTCATGTCTACTTATGTACACTCATGGGTCGAGGGCTGGATAGTCGCACCCGTCAGCAACTGGAGCTCTGAAAAACTCAGAGAGGAATGTGGTTGGTAGACCAATGGGTCGCAACGTGTTCAAGTATAAGGACCCTGCAACATAAACAGTGTTGCAAAGATTCCCACATGAACTTGTCCTTTTGGCAGTTCTAGGTTGATAAAATATATACCCATGTTTTTGATTATCTTTTTCAATGACTCCAAAGCTCTCCAGATCTAGGGACCCATTTCCTGAGAAGACATTTCACACTGGAAATGGGAAACTCCTGTGAATATCTGACATGCTAGCAACTTTCCCCCAAACAAGCATGATTGAAAAACACGACTTCTCTGAGCAAAGTAACAGTCTCCTGGGACCACGCCTGTCTGGTTCTCTGATGCATCCTGTGAACCCAGTGCAGGAAATGACCCCTAACAGGTATTTAAAAAGTATACTTCTTGCAAAAATATTCAATAAGATGAGGCCACTGAGCAGCTGGCTAAGCTCACTCAGCAGTGGTGCTATCTAGTCCTGCACGCCAGCCTCAATGAGCATGATTCGAAGTTCTGCATAGAAGGCATGACTTACCAACCCCAAACTTGGCTGTGCAATGAATACCACATTATTTAATTATAATTAAATGAAATCTAATCTGCCTTTGAGCACCTATGCTGCCAGGACATTGGGAAATTTAATGTTGGCCTCAATTGGCAAATTCCATCTCTCCCTAGGGTTGCACAAGAATTGGGAAGGACCATGTGGTTCCTGGAAAACAGGGGAAGGGATTCTGGTCATGGTCACTGCTGGAGCACCTCGAAATCTAGGCTCCCAGGGACCCTTAAACACAGATGGCTCTATGAGCTTCCTGCCATGTCAAGTGCATGGGGATCTTGACCAAGGTTACAAATTCCAGGGCATAATGGTCAGCCTCCCGGGGTGCCCCTTGCGGTCAGACGTTTCCCTGAGAGACCAGCCTCCACCATAAGGGCAACAAGCAGGTCCCTGCAGCTCACTCTTCCTTGTTTTGGGGACTCTCACCTGCTACTTCACTCCTATCCCTCCTTGCCTACAGCCTCCCCGGGGTGAGGGGTGCACGGGGCCTCAGGCGGGGCCTCCTGAAGTTGTGCATGGTGGCAGGGGACAGAAGGAGCCCGGAGAGAACAAAATGCACCTCATACACGGCCCTGCCACAGGGCCCGGGGGAATGACCGTCTGCCGCATGCTAAATCTTCTGAGTCATTTCTAAGCAACCAAGACCTCAGATGGGAAGCCTGCAACTGCCCGAGGGTCTCCTGACAAGATTATGGTGGAAGCCTCATGGCAAAGAGAAGAGCTTCTCCTTTTCCCATCTTGTCCCCCCTTAGCTAACCTCCCAGAGAGGCGACCTGGAAACTGAAGTCACTTTTAGTTACCGGCTGGTGCTGTGACAGGCCTTCTAGAGACGGTGTCAGGTTCTGGCTCAGGGTTTGTCTTCACCTTGGAAAGCACTGGAATCCACTCTTTCCTTTTTCTAGGACCCAGTCCCAGGCTCCTTCAAAGCCCAGTGGTGGGAGTCCCATCGTGCTGCAAACTGTGGCCTGAATAACCCAGGCCCCGAGATGGGGAGTGTTGGTTACACCAGAAACAAATGGAATAGTTTCTGGCCACAAACCAGACCCTCAGGTGCCAAGAGGTTCCAGGAAAACTAGCACATCCCAGGATTAGGAGGAAGTAAGGCAGTGACTAGGGATTTTTTTCCCTAATGAATCCAATAAATCCCTGGAAAAATAACCCACCAAGGGTGAAAAATAGACAGAAAACAACTTTATAGTCTTTTGGAGGTGTTTTTTTTTCTTTTTTTCTGAGAAAGAGAGAAAATAGAAAATATTCCATGCATTTGCTCTCAAAATAAACAATCGAGAATATAAAAATCATCTATAAATACAAGAAATGCTTTAAGTCAGAGTTTGTAGTAATCTGCTATGGCAGCCCTAGGGAACAGGCCCGAATATACCTTTTGCAGAAGAACCCTAGGATGTGTGACTTCAGAGAGTCAACTGGTGGTCAATCTTCCATTCCAACTTGCCTTTTACTTTTCTTAAAGAATTTTATTTGCATTCCAGCATCTTTCAAACTATGTGAACATGGAAATAATTTTTCTCTTCTATTGCACATTTCATTTCCCATTGAATTATGAAATCTGCATGAGGAGACAATTCAGACTGTAGGTATACTTTGAACTATGAAGACGGCCCAGTCCTGTGGTATTCCAAAACAGTCGAATACCTTATTATTTTTTAGAGATAAGGGCTCTTTTTAACACTGAAACTACCATTTATTTCTTTATTCTAAGCAATTTTTTCAAGGCAAGCCAAGTCCTTCTGTGGGTATTGGATTTAAAACTGTCCATGAGCCCTACCCTTTGGTAAGACACAGGTTAACCACTCTTTGGGGGCTTTCCATAGACATCAAATCATACGGTGCATGCACGATTTTTAATCATTTCATAGTTCTCAACTCCTTTTTGGATCATGTGTCTGAGACACTGATAAGAGCCACAGACTCTCCCCCAGCAAACTGTGTTCTCTCGACTTCTGCACCCACTCTCAGGGGGTTCACAGATGCCCCTCCACACCCCCCTGCAGTGTCCTCTGTGGAGACTGTTCTCAAAAGGCCTGCTGGGTGGCCACTTCCCTCCAGTCCGCCTTTTCACTTGAGCCACAGGGTGGTAAGCAAGGGCTGCGTCTGGCCGAGGGCCGAGGGTTCCTCCCCCACGTGCTAACGGTGCTGGGTAAGTCTCAACAACAACAGTGCTGGGGAGCTGAATTCTGGCTGAGCAATTGTGAGGGACCTTCTCCTTCAGACTCTCAAAGACTGAGTCAGGCCAAGGGGATGCATGGCAGAAATTCCAGGGGACAATGGTGGCTTTCTGAAGAGAACTCACTGAGCCATAGGGCTGGAAAAGACTTGGGGCTAACGGGCTGTGTTCCTGCGACCCCCTGGAGGTCACCATCAGCTCCCTTGCTTCGGGGCCTTAGCACACTTTCCTCCTTGCTGGCCGTGCTCTCACCCCACCTTTTCCACCTGTAACCTCTACTTGCTCTCAGGCAGTTAGACCCACTTCCTCTCGGATGCTTTCTCTGACCACCCAAATCTGAGTAAGGAGCCCCCTCTCTGTGCTATTTGCTTTGAGTTTCTCCACCACAGCCTTTGACCCACTGTTGTTACTGGCTCTCTATTCATCTGTATCTCTACTGGACTGTACGTTCCAGGTCAGCAGGGACCACGTGATTCTTATAATCTTCCTGTTCCCAGCAGTGTCAGGAAAACAGCATGATGAATACAAGCTTGTTGAGTAAATAAATGAATAACTGGCTGGTTCAATGCAAGGTTTCTCAAACTCGGCAATATTGGCATTTGAAATCGATAATTCTTTGCTATGGGACTGTCCTCTGCACTGCAGGACATTCGGCAGCCTCCCTGGCTTCTACCCGTCAGATGCCAGTAGCACCTCCATCCAGTTGTGACAACTAAAGATGTCTCTGAACGCTGCCCAGTGACCCTTGGCAGGCACAATCACCCTCGTGGAAAACTACTGCTTTAACGAACAACTGTTCACCTTGGAGTCATGTCACCCGTCTTGAGTCTGTGTCAGGGTGTGAGAGCCCATTTATTTATCAAATGCCAATGGAGAACTTGGTATATGCCCGTGAAATGAGCGGCTGACCTCTTGTGGCTCCTCAGAAGAGGGAAAAAAATTCCACTACGCATCTGAGGAGCATCTTAAGTCTTTTATTGACCTATTACAACATGGGGACATGAGAGGGGGCTCTAACTAACAAGTTCCACCACAAGAAAAGAGCCTCTCTGGGAGCTGGTGACTGGTGCTCTTGTTAAGTGACAGCTCAGGCCTGGATGCTGGCTTACGTCATGACATTAGGACGCCATTGGCATGTCAACTATCAGACTTGAAGGTCCTTAGAGAGCATCCAGTCCTTTGCCCCCAACCTGAGTCCATGGTCCCAAAAACTGGGAAATGGTTTTTTTTGTAATATGGTGTGTGTGTGTGTGTGTATGTGAGTCCATGGCTTTCATTATATTTTCAAAGGAGTCTAAACCCTCCGATGGTTAGTCTAATCTCCAGACTTCAGTGATGAAGGTTCTGCAGTCCAGAGGCTAAGAGACTCCTTCAGACTTCAGCAGTTGCAATTCGGCAGCGCTAGGACACACACTCGGATCTCCCCCTGCCCTGCCTTCAGCCCAGTGGGGCGGTGCTCGGATGCGCACCTGGTGTCAGGCAGAGGTCTGATCAGGAGCCACTGGGGAGGGTGAGTCCTGAGGCTCAGACGGATGGGAGGGTGCTTTGTCGGTAGGTTACCAAGTAAAATATAAGATGCCTCATTAAATTTGTGTTTCAGATAAATGACTACTTTCATAGTATAAGTATATCCCAAATGTTACATGGGATATACTTATAATAAAAAAATTATTCATTGTTTATCTGAATTTCAAATTTAACAGGGCATCCTGGGTGTTTTGGGGCTTTGTTGTTTTTTTGCTCAGTGGATAATAATGACTCAGTGTTTGAGACTCAGGCCCTGACTTCACTGGAGGCCACAGAGGCTCCTGACCTGGGTGAGACCGGCTGCTGGTTAAGACCGGCTTGTTTCTCTGTGACTTCAGAAGGCGTGAGGAGTCCTTGAGCACTACAGATATTCTCTAGGCATGTGGCCTCTCAGAAGATGACATTTCACAGGTCTGTGAAGAGTATAGGTCAAATTTATTTAACACAACACCCTACAGGGTCCCTGCAATTGTATCATTGAGGCAGGTGGGGGAAGTGGTTTCAGTTAGGTGTGATCACTCATGAAATTCCACGGCAAAATGGCCACAGCCCCTCATCCACGCACCCACTCAAGACACCATCAGAAACATCTTAAGACCTCAGGAGACCATTTCTTTAGCAAGGAATAAATAAAAAAAAATTAGTGAGAAAAATATGCATTTCATTTTTCTATTAAAAATACTATTTGCTGTAGGCAATCATCTTCCTGTCTCTTAGCCTTCAGCACAGTAGAGGAAGAGAAAGAAAGGGTATAGGAGAACAGCGTAAGAACATCTGCGCTTTGTCCAATTTCATTTTCGAGTTTGTGCGTTGTCCAGAGTGAGGCTTGTCTCCAAGCTGGCTTCTCAAAAGGATCACTCCCAACCAGCACGGTTTTCTCCTCTGTGGCAGGCGAAGTCATAGAGGGGACAGGGTGCAGCTGCCTGGTCTGTGCCCTTCCAAGGAACAAGGACTCCCCAGAACCACAGGCCTTGGAAGGACCCAAGGCAAAGAGAAAAACTAGCCCCTAAGCCGGGCCCTGCACTAGGAGTGATTGACTGCAAAACAAAGACAGGTTTATGTGCAAGAGGGTACTTGGAAGGGTTCTTCATCTCTGTACAAGGCAAAATATTCAAGTTTCAAAATATCCCATGGCCTGTTTACTCGGAACCTATGCCTGCTGCTCCCCACTCCCATGCGTGCGTCGGCCTGGTGGGAGGTGGGCTGTGTGGGAAAGGAACCAGCGCCGCTGTCTCTCCTTATACCCAACACAAGTGGACTAAGATGGACTTAAGAACTGGGAACTTGGCCTGAGGAAGTCTACGGTCAGCGGGCGCAGGGCAGGTTCATAAATAACGCACAGAGCTCTTGGAACACAGGAATCATCTGCTCCTCTTGGAATGTGGGTGTCCTCCCGGGAGGAGCGTCTCCTCCCGAGTCCTAAGTTCCATCAAGGGAGCCTTCCGTTCTCTGCGGCGACAAGAGACAAGACAAGCTACGGTCACACCCTTCAGAACTGAAGAGTGGTCTGGGGAAAGACATGCCAACTGCGGTCAGCACTTGGCAAGGGAACTCGCAGGGTGCTGTCAGCTGCTGGACCCCTGACAAGGGAGGCTCCTGCCCGCGTGCATTTCTCTCTTCCCTCCGTGCCTGCTCCGCCGGCTGCGGCCTCTCCTCCCACAGACCTGCTGCACAGCCAGCTATCAACCAGCTTCATCAAGGACCCACTGTGTGCCCGGCGCTGGCCCATGGGGGCTGCACCCGTGAAGTAAGGAGAGACCCGGCTTATTGCTCCAGCTCTGCCTCTTAACAGGAGATGGACCTTTTCTAGGTCTGTTTTTCAATTTGAAAAACGAAGGACTTAACTCAAATAATCAAACTTAAATGTTTTAAAAATATATGATTCTGCCTTGAAAAGGGTGAAATTCGGATACATTTCCACATGAATAAACCTTGAAAATGTTACACTAAGTGAAATAAGCCAGACACAAACGGAGCAAACCCCGTGGGGTCCCACCTACATGAGGTGCCCTGAGCGGCCAAAGCCAGAGACAGAGAGCAGAGCGGCGGCTGCCAGGGCCCCGGGGCTGGGGAGTCGGTGTTCAGCGGGGACAGGGTTGGGTTCGGAATGGTGGAAAAGTTCTGTGAATAGATGGTGGGGATGGTGCAAACAATTGGAATGTACTTAATGTCACTGAACTATACAGTTAAAAATGGTAAATTTTATGTTGTGTATGTTTCACCACAAAAAAAGTAAAAAAAAAAGATTCCATGTGCCATCTTGCAGTGTTCTCTACCTGCCTCACGTGGCGGGTGTCACCTGTCCTCCCATCAGCGACTGGGCCCTCCTCTGACCCAGGCACAGTTCTCTATGCGGAGGATGCCAGGCCCTGCTCCCAAGAACGGTCCCTGTTACAGACAAACTCCGCTGCCCTGAAATAGGAGGAGGAAGAGACCCGCGCCCAGAGCGAGTTCAGAGGCGGTGAGGGGACCCTGGCTGTGTAGTGAAGCGGGTCACAGAAGGCCTCGGGGAAGTGGCTTTGGCACTGGCCTCCAAGGTGTGGCAGATTTTGACAAACGGATGGTGCAAAGGGGCAAGAATGGAGCTTGCTGGGAAATATTGGAGCAGAAGGGTACAAGGGAACCGTGAGCCTTGAGGAGCAGGCAGCATGAGTGCATGACCCTGGACCCTCCGTGAGCACAGGGCCCCCTGCTGCAGGCAGAGCTCACGAGGTCTTGGGGACCCCACGGCCAGGCTGGTTGGCTCCCTGAGGGTGAAGCGAAGACAGAGTGCCTGGCGTGTTCTGGCGCTCGGAAAAGGAAGCAGGTCTGAGGGGGTCCAGCTTGCAGGCCAGCGCTCTACCTTCTCCTCTGCCAAGAGAGACCCAGGCAAGTGGGCCAAGAGAGCTGAGCTGGCCTCAGGGGGCTGGAGGCCTGCCAGCCCTGGCCGCTTCCCTCGCCTCATTTCCTCTGGTCTGTCTTGAGAGATGACGCTGGTGTCCAGCCTTTCTGCAGGCCCCAGACCAAGTCCCTCCCTAGACACCTTCACCATCCCTCTCCAGGGGAAGCACGTGCTTGGGCAGCTGCTGTAGGACCAGCCCCATGGATGGGAAGGGGTTTTGAAGTAAAAGTTAACAAGTTCACATCCAAGGTCTGCACTTGCTTGTGTTTAAATCAAAGGCTGGCC